ATAAGGGGATAAACCAGTAAAATACCCAGCAGTGTGTTAAGAAATGTGAAAGATCTTAGTGAAGTGGATAATTTTTAAATCCTAAATCACCAATGTTGACACAAAAAAGGAGAGAAAATAATTGAGGAAGAAACAGAGAAAACTGTTCCCAAGTCATCCTCTTTATAAAAATCCTGGATCAAAATGTTTTATAGGCAAATTCTTTCAAAAGACAGAAAAAGATGAAAAGCAATCTGAATGTTTCTACAAATTAGGGATAAGCATGCCATCAAAACCTGCCAAAGATCTCTCTTGTAAAAAAAAATTTTTTTTAATTATCTACTGTAACCAATGGGATTTTATCCCAGTATTATTTGTAATAGCAGAAACTTCAGAAGCAACCTAAATGTCCTCTGAGAAATGGTTAAATAAATTTTAGTATATCATACAAAGCAGTATAATACAACCATAAAAGTGATTTAAAAAAACAAAAGGAAAATCCTCATAAAAATCAGATGAAATTTAAAATGTTATAATTGAGGGGACTTCCCTGGTGGTCCAGAGGTTAAGAGTTTGCCTTCCAATGCAGGGGACCCAGGTTCAATCCCTGGTTGGGGAACTAAGATCCCACATGCCATGGGGCAAATAAGCCCGCGTGCCACAACTACTGAGCCCACGTGCCACAACTACTGAAGCCCGCACTCTACAGCCCGTGAGCCACAACTGCTGAGCCCACATGCCACAACTTCTGAAGCCCATGTGCCTGGAGCCCATGCTCTACAACAGGAGAAGCCACTGCAAGGAGAAGGCCACACACTGCAACAAAGGGTGGCCCCCGCTTGCTGCAACTAGAGGAGGCCCGCGCACAGCGTAAGTCACACTGTTTCATTCAATTGCTTTATCAGAAAATTAGCATCACTGCAACTGGAAAAATCACATTTTTGCTATGTGACGAGCAGAAAATGCAGAAAGTATAAAATCACTGCCTGGGGTTAAGTGCTTATTAATGTTCGCTCATGTGACACCCACTTACTGTGTGTGTACTTTGGAGCAAAGGATGAAAGGAGTCAGGTGGCCCTTCTCTAGAAAAGCAGAAAGCCCAGTACGAGACGGATGGGTAAGCACACCACTCCATATGACATGAGACACTACTATGACAAGTGTACATAGGTGCTACAGGAATGCACAAGAGAGGCACCTGACCTTACCCAAGGGAAGGAGGGTCTGAGCTGAAGCTTAAAGACCAGCACCAGTCAGCTCAGGAAGAGGTTAAGAAAGGGGACCTCTGTATGGAGGGAGCTTGAATATCCCTGGCCACAAACATCCTGACCTGGTTCAGCAAGTGGCTTGGTTTCCCTGGAGCATCTCATCTGAGTTTGTGACCTGAGCCAGCTTTTGCTGGGTCTGTTCAATTCTGATGACCGAACCACAGAGCTCTCTTGGGATCTGAAGTCAATAGAGACCAGGGCCTGGTCCCTCTGCATTTCCTCCTCTTCAAGATAGAACACCAAGACACCTGGTCTCCATAAGCAGCTTTTTCTTATAAAACTTTCCCCATTTCTTACTTTTCTGGTGGCTTCAACTTTAAGAATGGTAAAAAAAAAAAAAAAAAAAAAAAAAGAATGGTAAACACCTTTTCAAAATCCTAACTAACGGCTTCCCTGGTGGCGCAGTGGTTGAGGGTCTGCCTGCTAATGCAGGGGACACAGGTTCGAGCCCTGGTCTGGGAGGATCCCACATGCCGCGGAGCAATTGGGCCCGTGAGCCACAGCTACTGAGCCTGCGCGTCTGGAGCCTGTGCTCCACAACAGGAGAGGCCATGATGGTGAGAGGCCCGCGCACTGCGATGAGGAGCGGCCCCCGCCTGCCACAGCTGGAGAAAGCCCTCGCACAGAAATGAAGACCCAACACAGCAAAAATAAATATAAATAAATTAATAAACTCCTACCCCCAACATCTTCTTAAAAAAAAAAATCCTAACTAAAAACATAGTACACATATAACAAAAAAAAGAATGCATAGTTGTTTACACAGCTATAGTTACTAACAATCCATAGAACCCAAGGATTTTGGGGGTATTCCGCCCAGCCCATCTCTGCTCCCATTCCCCTCCCACTGTGAGACCACTTTAGGTATTTGTTAGCTAAGCCCTGGGAGAAGGTCTCAACCACAGGAGTCCCAACTTTCAAACTCTTGCTCCTGCACATCATTCACAGCCATCTGTAAAACTAAGAAACTGTACAGTTCCCTGCTCAAAATCATTGGCTCAAGCTACAATAGCCTCCTTGCAGCTCCTTGAATACACCAGACACACATCCCACTGTTCCCTCTACCCAGAACACTCTCCCCCAGACCTGAATGTTGTTAACTCCCACACTTCCTTCAAGTCTGCTCAGATGGTATCATCTCAATAAGGATAAGGCTTACCCTGACCACCCTATTTAAATTGCACTCCTTGGACTTCCCTCGTGGCCCAGTGGTTAAGAATACGCCTGCCAATGCAGGGGACATGGGTTCGATCCCTGGTCCAGGAAGATCCCACATGCTGTGGAGCAACAAAGCCCGTGCACCACAACTACTGAGCCCGTGTGCTGCAACTACTGAAGCCCACGTACCCTAGAGCCCAGGCGCCGCAACTACGAAAGCCCGCATGCCTAGAGCCCATGCTCCACAACAAGAGAAGCCACCGCAATGAGAAGCCCGTGCACCGCAACGAAGAGTAACCCCCACTCGCCACAACTACAGAAAGCCTGCATGCAGCCACTAAGACCCAACGCAGCAGACATAAATGAATGAATAAATAGCACTCCTACCACAAGCCCCCAGTTCCCTACTCAATCCCCCTTATTCTTCTCTACCTTTTATCTTTTTTTTTTTTTTTTTTGCGTTACGCGGGCCTCTCATGTCGCGGAGCACAGGCTCCAGACGCGCAGACTCACCGGCCATGGCTCACAGGCCTAGCCGCTCCGCGGCATGTGGGATCTTCCCGGATCGGGGCACGAACCCGTGTCCCCTGCACCAGCAGGCGGACTCTCAATCACTGCGCCACCAGGGAAGTCCTACCTTTTATCTTTTTTCTAGGGTACTGATGCCTTCTAGGATATCATACAATTTCCTTACTTAATTATTTGCCTCTTCCTTCTAAGATGTAAGCTCCAAGAGAGCAAAGACCATTATAAATTTTGTCCACTAATGTATACCAACCACCTAGAAAAGTGTCTTAACACTTCACAGGGGTTCAGTGACTATCTGCTGAATGAATGTATGAATGAATGAATGGTTACCAAGGCCAAAGGGTAAAAAGTCCAAACGCCCTTGTATTCTCATCTATACAGTGCCTGCAGCCCACACTCACTGTCACACAGGACAATGGTTTCGGATATAGGCCCCTCATCTTCTTGCCTCCCAACCCCTGACCCACAGTCAATCAGCTCTACCCCCACACCCTTCATTTTCACCGGCTCAGACCCCGCCCCTATTCAAAGGTGAAATCTCCACTGACTCTTCCCACAGGCAGAATTTCCTCTCCCTTCTGCACTCACAGCAGTCCCTGGATCTCTGCAGCAACACTTGAACCACCTTTCTGGTGCTATACTTCTGCATGAGGCTGTCCTCCCCCACTAAATTAACTTCCTGGATAAGTGGTCACATGACTCAACTGCTCATCTTTTGCATTCCTCTGAGCGCCAGGCTCAGAGAAGGGGAACCACTGACAGAGGGAAATTTCTGCCTGAAAAGCCCCATTTGTAGGGCCAGTGTTCTGTTCTGTGCTGTCCTCCATCCCCAGTCATCATGTGCAGCCTAAGTCAGGTAACCCAAGTGAACACTGGCAGGCCATCCCATGAGAACATAACTGAGTGCTCTGGGGAGCACAGCTTTAAAAGTGAAGTTTAAAGAGGTCCCGGAAGTTCACTGTTCAGAACACAGATTCATTTTCACCATCAAAAGGCAACTCCCACCCCCACCCTGCGGAAATGATCAACACCCCTATGAGGTGTTAAGTGAGTTAAGTCATCGGAAGTCTCAAAACCTACTGAGGAAACACTTTATACGGAAAGGTGCTGATGACAGTGATTTGCTCTGGCTCTCCTCAAACAAAACAACTGTTTTGTTCTAGTACTGTTACTTGTCTTACTCCTTAAAGCTCACCCCTGTAAAACAAAAACATATAACAAGAAGTAAAAAAATATAAAGACATTATATGCTGTGTTTAATTTACTGTGAACTGCTTTTAAAGAACATTGGTATTTTTACCTGATTTGTCTCACACCCTAGCAACTAGAATCTGTGATTTTTCCTTAATTGTAAAGAGTGTGGATTAAAATACCATCTGAACTTTGTTATATTTTCACTGATAAGAGTCTGTAAATCAATGGGTAAGCTCAGAGTTGTGATGCTTCTAGAAAATGCCTCCTGTCTCACAAGAATAAACGGGTTCACAAATCAGCGTTATGTTAATTAAGTTGAAGGCTGGACATCTGGGGATGTGCATTATTATACCTCTGTTAAAGCAGAAAAAAACATGTAAAGCTACGGGACACGTCCTCCCTTGTTGTTTTCCTCCTTGCCCGGGAAGAGCCCATCTCCAGGCTCTTCCTAGGCAGGTCCAGACCAGGCTTCTTTGGTCCCTTAAGGTCTCTCTATGGCCCCTGGGTCAGAAGCTAGGGCTCCTCTCTCCTTCACTCACAGTCACTTTCCCCTCTACAGTTTTCTATTCTGTCACCCGACCCTCTAGATTCCTAATGGACAGAGTTCAAGGAATTGGCTTGGCCCTCAGGATTCTCAACACTGACACTTCCTAATACATCCACTCTTAACTCCTCCCACAAGACCACCCCGCCCTGGTCCCCCTCCTCCCCACCAGCCCTCCTTTGGGGAAGCCCTTTCCCCCCAGCTCTGGACACCTTGGTTTTGCAAGGCTAGGAAGCTCCGAGGGGGCAAGCAAGCCAGAAAGGAAGGTCGCTCAAGCAGAGAACAATGACTACTCCAAATACGCCCCGGGGTAGGAACGGGCTGCTCACCTGCGGCCTGGCCGTCGGAGGCCTTGGGGCCATTCCTGCGTCGCCGGGCCCGGCTCCTAGACAGGGTCTGGGGACAGAGGAGAGGGCCCACTCAGCCAGCTGTAACTGCCAACCAGCCCGCGCCCCGCCAGGCCCGGCCCGCCTCCGCCCCGCAGCCACTTCTCCAGGGTAGAGAGGTGGGGCGGTGCGCGGGCCCTGCCTGGGCCTGCCTCCCCCAAACTAAACGCTCGCCGCCTCCTAGACACCCTCCTCCGGCCACGCCCAGTCCCACCCGCAGGATGGTGGGCGCGGCCGAACGCACACGCGCAAAGCCCGTGGGAGGTGCCGCCCCAACCCGCGCACTCGGAATCACCGCCTCCTGGGGACTACGGATTTCGAGACCTCAGGCCCACCCAGGGCTCGGGCCGGCTCCTCCAGTCCCCGGTGCCGGTTCAGTCCTCTGCAACTCTGAAGTCCGAGGGTCGGCCTTCGCCGCACCTGGGCCGGACAATGGCTGCAGCGGCGGGGCAAAGCCGGAAGTGCGCCTGCGCATGCGGAGCCTTTCTCCCGTAACCGCCGGGCCGCGGCGGGCGCGCGACTACACTTCCCAGCGGCCACCGCGCATGGGTCCCACGGAGGCTGCCTGGTAGGACGCTTCGCTTTCCGAGGCGCCCCAGTGGGGACCGCTGTCCGGGCCCAACGGGTTGGAGGGTGGGGCTTGAGTACTCCTGCGTCCGCTTATTCCAGTAACAGTCACTGAGCGTCTTCTCTGTGCCAGGGGCGTGTTGCTAGGGGCGGGATACTGCGGTAGATCGGTCAGGAAAGATCCTGCTTTCTGGGAGCGAGTATGCACTCCTGTAGACGAGGCTGACAAAAAAACCCGTAAACATATCAACAAGATAATTTCACGTACTGACTTCAGCTGTAGGAATAAGACAGTGAAGGGAGTGGGGCAACGTTGCCTCTTCTATGCCGTCTTCATCCGTGGGTCACTACCAAAGGTTTGGACACTGACTCCCCAGACCACATACATAGAATATTACGGCCAAGATACTTGATTAAATAGTTGATACTACAGAAAGAAAAAAACAAAAAACCTTCAGATGAATCCGTAGCCTCCCGAACAGTATTCAAAAGCAAACTGTGCCACTGCCATGTTATTTCATTACTTGGTATCCTATTGCTCAGGATTTTGTACTTGGGGAGATAAATAAATGATGGAAAATTTCAACTCAAAGAATTAGATTTATATAATTATGGGGGTTTTTTTGTTTTTGTTTTTTTTTGCGGTACGCGGGCCTCTCACTGTCCTGGTCTCTCCCGTTACGGAGCACAGGCTCCGGACGCGCAGGCTCAGCGGCCATGGCTCACGGGCCCAGCCGCTCCGTGGCATGTGGGATTTTCTCGGATCGGGGCACGAACCCGCGTCCCCTGCATTGGCAGGCGGACTCTCAACCACTGCGCCACCAGGGAAGCTCTATAACTACGTTTTATATATCACAAATAGTCTAAAAACTTCCTAGACTTACACTTGATTTTTTAACATTAGAGTATCACATATTCACATGGTAGAAAATGATTGCAAGTAAATGTTCTTTTTGTTACATGCTTTATCAAAAGGATGAACATTAAAAAAAAATAATGCTTTCCACCACTGCTGCCTGAGTATGATGCTGTGGAACAAACAGAAGGCATCATTCAGAAATATGAATGAGTGGTCTAAGGAGGCCTCTCTGAAGCAGGAACTCAGTAGACTGAGACCTAATGAGGCAACTGCTGGAACATGAGGGAGAAAAGAATTCCAGGCTGAAGGAACTGAGGGTGCCAAAGCCCCGCGGTGGAAACAAACTTGATGTGTTTTAGAAACTGATGCCTAATGTAGCTGTAGCAGAGTGAGGGGGAGGGAGAGTAAGTGACATAGAGGTAGGACAGGTAGGCTGGGGTTTGATGGAGCAAAGGTTTTTAGAGGCTGTGATAAGGAGTGTGGATTTTACTTTGAATGTGATCGGAACCACTGGGTTAGCAGGAGCAATGGGTCATTTACTACTATGAGGGGATAAGAGAAAATTTCCCTGTTGTCCCAGAATTGGAAACCAGGACTCAGAGCTGAGATTAAATTCTTCTGCGTTCAAAAGAGAGACAAAATGGCGTTTTTCACAGAACTAGAAAAAATAATTCTAAAATTTGTATGGAAATACAAAAGACCCCAAATAGCCAAAACAATCTTGAGAAAGAAGAGCAGAGCTGGAGGTATCACACTCCCCCTGATTTCAAGCTACAGTCATCAAAACAGTACTGGCACAAAAACAGACACATACATCAATGGAACAGAATAGAGAGCCCAGAAATGAACCCTCACTTATATGGGCAATTAAGTTATGACAAAGGAAACAAGAATATAAAATGGGGAAAAGACAGCCTGTTTGATAAATAGTGTTGGGAAAACTGGACAGCTACATGCTAAAGAGTCAAACCAGATAATCTCTCACACCATGCACAAAAATAAATTCAAAATGGATTAAAGGCTTAAATGTAAAACCTGAAATCGTAAAACTTCTAGAAGAAAACATAGGCAGTACTCTCTTTGACATAGGTTCTAGTAACATATATTTTTTGGATATGTCTCCCCAGGCAAGGGAAAGTAAAGCAAAAATAAATAAATGGGGCTACATCAAACTAAAAAGCTTTTGCCCAGCGCAGGAAATATCAATAAAATAAAAAGACCACCTACTGAATGGGAGAAGATACTTGTAAATGATATATCCAATAAGAGGTTAGTATCCAAAATATACAGAGAACTCGTACAATTCAACATCAAAAAACCAAACAACCAAATTTTAAAAATGGGCAGAGGATCTGAATAGACATTTTTCCAAAGAAGACATACAGATGGCCAACAGACACATGAAAATTCTGTCTGTTGAAATGAAAATGAGTGATGCTCAACATCACTAATCATCAAGGAAATGAACATCAAAACCACAATGAGGTATCACCTCACAGCTGTGAGAATGGCTATTATAAAAAAGACAAATGACAACTGTTAGTGAGGACACTGAGAAAAGGGAACCCTCATGCACTGTTGGTGGGAATGTAAAGTGCTGCAGCCACTATGAAAAACAGTTGGAGATTTTTCAAAAAATTAAAAATAGAACTACCATGATCCAGCAATTTCACTCCTGGGTATTTATCCAAGGAAAACAAAAAACACTAATTAGAAAAGATATTTGTACCCCTATGTTCATTGCAGCATTATCTACAATGGCCAAGATATGGAAGCAACCTAAGTGCCCATCAACAGATGAATGGATAAAAATGTGGTATATATACAATAGAATATTAGCCATAAAAAGAATGACATCTTACCATTTTTGACAACATCGATGGACCTAGAGGGTACTATGCTAAGTGAAATAAGTCAGAGAAAGACAAATACTGTATGATATCACTTGTATGTGGAATCTTAAAAACAAAACAAATGAGCAAACAGAAACAGACTTATAGATACAGAGAACAAACAGGTGGTTACCAGAGGAGAAGGGGAGGGGGGAAGAATAGGTAAGGAAGATTAAGAGGTACAAACTTCCAGTCCCAAAATAAATGAGCCACAGGTATAAAATGTACAGTGTGGGGAATATAGTCAATAACAAAGTAATATCTTTGGGGTGATGTAACTAGATTTATGTGGCGATCATTTGAAATGTATAGAAAAAAATCACTATGTTGTGTAAGAGGAACTAACATAGTGTTGTAGATCAATTATACTTCAAAACCGAATAAAAAACATACAAACAAACTCAGAAAAAGAGATCATATTTGTAGTTACCAGAGGCAGGGGGTAGGGGGAGAGGAAATTGGATGAAGACAGTCAAAAAGATACAAACTTCCAGTTATAAGTAAGTACTAGGGATGTAATGTACAACAATGAGCCGTATAATAAACACAGCTGTATGCTGTATATGAAAGTTGTTAAGAGAGTAAATCCTGAGTTCTCATCATAAAATCTTATTTCTATTTCTTTCATTTTGCATCTATATGAGATGACAGATGTTCACTAAACTTATTGTGATGATCATTTCATGATGTAAGTCCAAATATTATGCTGTATACCTTAAACTTATACTGTGCTGTATGTCAATTATTTCTCAATACAACTGGAAGAAAAAGAAAAAATTTGGGGCTAGACACCCTCAGGTCTTACAGAAGCAGACCGTGTTCTAAATTTGCCCTGCTTCTATTAACCATTGCCTCAACACCACCCCTCTTTCCCAGGCTGTATAAGGAGACTAGGATGGGAAAGAAAAGGAAGAATTCTTCAGAATAGCAAGCCCTCCGCCTAGTGGAGAATGCGAGGTTCTACCCTCACACCAAGATAAGTGTGAGAAAGAAAACATTGAGAGCACCCAGAAGAAGGGGAGGGTTTATAAACTACCCCAAGGCCTCCCCAAAGCAAGGGAAAGGGGAGTTAAAGAACAGGCTGAGTGTAAGGAGAGTAGCCTGAATTTTCATTATTTGTGTAGTAAGTGGATGCAGTGGAAAACGACTGGGCTTTAGCCCCCAGGGGAGGTGGGGGATGGGTGCAGCTCACCACAGTTAGAGGCTGTGTAATTACATGGGTATGAGAAGAAGCTGAGGAGGTTAGAAGAGGTTGAAGCAGAGCCAGATCTCCCAAGTCTGGTATTGGTGGGTTTCCTCTAAAGAACTCACAAATGCACCCCCATTTCTGCCAGTGTGACTTCATAACTTTAATGCTGGATGAAATATTATAAAAATCTTCTTAAATGGATTGGTGAGTTAGAAAATTGGTGAGGAATACACAGAGCCAAAAATGAAGCAAAACTGATAGAGTGGTAGACAGATCACTGAAAACTAGTTCTCACCTGGAAATCATTTGCCAAATGAGGCAAACTTGAGCTTTATTTTTCATGGTCCTGTAAGCACAGGGGCCAGGTGATGAAACTCAAATCCCACCCAAAGTAGGATATCTAATAGGAGACACACACACACCCCAATTAAAATTGGGACTCCAAGGGTGAACACCCTCCTGGTGGAGACTGCAAGGTAAATTGCCTGTTTCAAACCTTGGCAATGAGTGGAAGAGGTAGAAAATGTTTCCCCTGAGAATTTGTAACCACAAGCTGGTTCCCATGTGGATTTGCAACCTGAATTCACAGTCCCTGGGTGCTCTAAAACACTGCAAGCTAAAATTTTAGTTAATATTGGTCCCAGGTTAATGGTGTTTCCAGGCATCTGGCAGAAGCAAACACAAATCCTGCTTGGAGGAAACTACCTTCCTAAGAAATATGTGTTCACAGTCTTGAATCACGAAACACATATAGAAAACAGGGAACCATGAATGACAGACAGTAGGAAAAAATTGTATAATCAAATTTGTAACATCAAATAGAGGGAGTTCTCAAACACAGAATTTACTATAATACATCTAATACATTTCAAAAATTATTTTAATAAACTCAAATAAGGGTTGAGTATATGAGTAGAGATCAAGATTGTTAAAATATTATGAAACAGAACTGAATAAGAATCAAGTAGAATTTTTATAAATGAAAAACTACAGTAAGTTAAATTTATTTTTTAAATTAATTAGTTTTTGGCTGCGTTGGGTCTTCGTTGCTGCTCATGGGCTTTCTCTAGTTGCGGTGAGCGGGGGCTATTCGTTGCGGTGCGTGGGCATCTCACTGCAGTGGCTTCTCTTTTTGCAGAGCACGGGCTCTAGGCATGCGGGCTTCAGCAGTTGTGGCATGCGGTCTCAGTAGTTGTGGCTTGAGGGCTCTAAAGCACAGGCTCAGTAGTTGTGACGCATGG